GATAAAAATTACAGACCTCTACATGCTTTGTAAGTAGGAAAACCTGAAAAATCGGCAGTGTATCAAATACTTGTTCTCCCCACTGTATGTATTCCCCCAAATAACTTTTCTGTTTATTGTCAAATTAAATTAATTATTGTACTTATTTTTAAGTTATATAACAACATTCCAACCTTGAGCATTAATATCTAGTCCAAATATGGCATTATTCCACTATTTGTATCCGTTTTGGTCAGTTTTAATTGGGGACTTTAATTCTGAAGGCAAAGTGCAAATTCCACTATTGTGGCTAATCCTTATTGTGGCTAGCTTCACACAGGTGTGGGAAACAAATCAAATCAAATTTTATTTGTCAAATGCGCCGAATACTGTGAAATTCTTACTTACAAGCCCTTAACCAACAATGCAGTTCAAGAAATACAAGTAAGTAGTAACACAATAAAACACAATAAAATAACAATAACGAGGCTATATACAGGGGATACCAGTACAGACGTAATTTGTACATGTAGGTAGGGGTAAAGTGACTATGCATAGATAAACAGCGAGTAGCAGCAGTGTAAAAACAAAGGGGGAGGGGGTGTCAATGTAAATAGTCCGGGTGGCCATAAACAACTGCTGCCTCTATGCTGTGGCCCAGCGGGAGGGAAGCAAGAGTGGGAATTGCAACTTCGATGCAACACAGTTGCACTGGTCATCCACATCGGCTTGTGGTTGAGTTAGCAATTGGCATGTCACGGTGACAGTCAACCACCAGACCGAATATTGATGATTATGTAAATCACGTGTTATCAAGTGTTACTCAAATGTTATGCAGCTTGGCTTGCTACCAGAGGAGGCTGGTGGGATGAGCTATAGGAGGACAGGCTCATTGTAATGGCTGGAATGGAATAAATGGAACGATATCAAACACATCAAACATATGGAAATCCCAGTGGGTTCAGAACAACAATGACAAAAACAATACCCAAAACGGCACTTGAGGAGTGGGAGGGCAAAGGGGAAGGTGCTCTGGCACAGGTAGACCCCCCTATCTGTGCCACTGGTGTAACGCAGCTTCTCTAGACCCCCGCAAGGTAGGAGTTCGCCCTCCCTTCCCTAAAATAAAAATAAATAGAATGCATTAACCAGACAGCCACTCACAAAGTATAGACTACTGATCACTGTCCATGGTGCTGAAGTTGCGACATCTAATCGATGATAGGCTTTCTGTGGTGCCAAGGCATGTAGCCTAGAGCTTTAGCTAATGGATAAATGTTTAGTGGTAGGCCTATTTGGTCATCATTTCCTAATGTTAATCCTAACATTTCATGAAGGTGTCGCAATGCTGCCATTTATTTAGACTGCTGGCTGGCGGCAATAATGTAATTAATTCAAACATTGCCGATTGTAAAATAAAATGTTTATGCAACAGCGTATTAATCAGCTACCAATATACAGTTGAAGTCGGAAGTTTCATACACGTTAGCCAAATACATTTAAACTCAGTTTTTCACAATTCCTGACATTTAATCCTAGTAAAAATTCCCTGTTTTAGGTCAGTTAGGATCACCACTTTATTTTAAGAATGTGAAATGTCAGAATAATAGTAGAGAGTGATTTATTTCAGCTTTTATTTTTTTCATCACATTCCCAGTGGGTCAGAAGTTTACATACACTCAATTAGTATTTGGTAGCATTGCCTTTAAATTGTTTAACTTGGGTCAAACGTTTCAGGTAGCCTTCCACAAGCTTCCCACAATAAGTTGGGTGAATTTTGGCCCATTCCTCCTGACAGAGCTGGTGTAACTGAGTCAGGTTTGTAGGCCTCCTTGCTCGCACACGCTTCTTCAGTTCTGCCCACAAATTGTCTATAGGATTGAGGTCAGGACTTTGTGATGGCCACTCCAATACCTTGACTTTGTTGTCCTTAAGCCATTTTGCCACAACATTGGAAGTATGCTTGGGGTCATTGTCCATTTGGAAGACCTATTTGCGACCAAGCTTTAACTTCCTGACTGATGTCTTGAGATGTTACTTCAATATATCCAAATAATTTTCCTTCCTCATGATGCCATCTATTTTGTGAAGTGCACCAGTCCCTCCTGCAGCAAAGCACCTCCACAGCATGATGCTGCCAACCCCGTGCTTCACGGTTGGGATGGTGTTCTTCGGCTTGCAAGCCACCACCTTTTTCCTCCAAACATAACGATGGTCATTATGGCCAAACAGTTCTATTTTTGTTTCATCAGACCAGAGGACATTTCTGAAAAAAGTACGATCTTTGTCCCCACGTGCAGTTGCAAACCGTAGTCTGTCTTTATGGCGGTTTTGGAGCAGTGGCTTCTTCCTTGCTGAGCGGCCTTTCAGGTTATGTCGATATAGGACTTGTTTTACTGTGGATATATATACTTTTGAACCTGTTTCCTCCAGCATCTTCACAAGGTCCTTTGCTGTTGTTCTGGGATTGATTTGCACTTTTCGCACCAAAGTACGTTCATCTCTAGGAGACAGAACGCGTATCCTTCCTGAGTGGTAGGACGGCTGCGTGGTCCCATGGTGTTTATACTTGCGTACTATTGTTTGTACTGATGAATGTGGTACCTTCAGGTGTTTGGAAATTGCTCCCAAGGATGAACCAGACTTGTGGAGGTCTACCATTCTTTTTCTGAGGTCTTGGCTGATTTCTTTTGATTTTCCCATGATGTCAAGCAAAGAGGCACTGAGTTTGAAGGTAGGCCTTGAAATACATCCACAGGTACACCTCCAATTGACAGAAGCTTCTAAAGCCATGACATCATTTTCTGGAATTTTCCAAGCTGTTTAAAAAGGCACAGTCAACTTAGTGTATGTAAACTTCTGACCCACTGGAATTGTGATACAGTGAATTATAAGTGAAATAATCTGTCTGTAAACAATTGTTGGAAAAATTACTTGTGTCATGCACAAAGTAGATGTCCTAACCGACTTGCCAAAACTATAGTTTGTTAACAAGAAATGTGTGGAGTGGTTGAAAAACAAGTTTTAATGACTCCAACCTGAGTGTATGTAAACTTCCGACTTCAACTGTATGTTTTTGAATATACAACTGTCCTGTATCACCTAACCTGAAACTGCATGACATTATCCTAGCTTGGATAGAAAGTTGTTGTGCATAAAACCAGTCTATGCCCAAAATAAAAAATCCAAAAAATCCAGTCAGTCCACCCTCAAAACACTAGCTTACTACGGATTGTTTCATTATGCAGTATAGCCTTCTATCTAAAGCTATATAGCTTACCTATTTAGCTGCTATTTCAAAATGTTTTATAAAAATTACACATCAAACAATGAGGAAAAAAGTAGTTGGCTTGAGGATAAATTCAGCCACTATTTATTGTTGAACTCAACAGGTTGTCTGGCTAATACCCTACACAAATGGGCTGCAATATTCAAGGTAAATTAAATCCAACTTGAGAGACTCCCCTAGTCTCCTGAAGAGCTCCTTGCTGCTTCTCTCAACCTGGTCTAAGAGCATTTCGTATTATTCTGTACATAAACCTGCGACATTTAGTGTGATATGTTACAAATTACAATTCGTATTATATGTTATGAATTTTCAAAACGTATGATATGTTACGAATTCTAGCTAGGTGGATAACGTTAGCTAGGCTAGGGGTTAGGGTAAGGGGTTATGGTTAAGTTTATGGTTAAGTTTAGGAGTTAGGTTAAAGGGTTAAGGTTAGGTTTAGGGTTAGGGGAAGGGTTAGCGAACATGCTAAGTAGTTGCAAAGTAGCAAGTAGTTGAAAAGTTGCTAATTAGCTAAAATGATAAAGTTGTCCGTGATGAGATTCAAACTCGCAACCTTCGCGTTATATGCCCACCCATCTCTTTCCATAAAGTGTTGAAGCAGAAGGAGAGGCTCAATTAAAGATGTTGCAGAACTGCTGTATTTTAAGCACCATTCCCTTCTACCCAGTTTCCCGGATGTTGCTAGGGTAATCAAATTAAATTAAATTTTATTGGCCACATGCGCCGAATACAACAGGTGCAGACATTACAGTGAAATGCTTACTTACAGCCCTTAACCAACAGTGCATTTATTTTTAATAAAAAAGTAAAATAAAACAACAAAAAAGTGTTGAGAAAAAAAGAGCAGAAGTAAAATCAAATAACAGTAGGGAGGCTATATATACAGGGGGGTACCGGTGCAGAGTCAATGTGCGGGGGCACCGGCTAGTTGAGGTAGTTGAAGTAATATGTACATGTGGGTAGAGTTAAAGTGACTATGCATAAATAATTAACAGAGTAGCAGCAGCGTAAAAAGCTATTTTGACCAACCCTGTAACTGTCGCTTCTGTGGAGAGATCGTTTTCTAAACTAAAACACATAAAGAGCTAGGCCTACCTAAGAACCATTAGGCTCCCAGTCTGATATGCACTTTTAAACACGCAAGTAAGCTCCACTCATTGCACTGGCGCCGTCGTAGCCTTGACCACGGAATTAGTTCACTGATATCCCTTTACTTTCAGTCAGTGAAATGTTGTATTTATCAAGGCTTGAGGCACTTTTTTGGTCACATTCCTAAAAGCCAAGAAAACAAGACTTAGCTTAGTACATATGGAAATTAAAAAGGTTTATGAATGACACTTTGGAGGGTTACTGTCAAAATTATTTATTACATTTAAAATAAATAGACATCGATGACAGGCGCATGGGCCCCCAGAGCTTGTGGGTCTCCCTGCCTTGCTGGCAACAACAGCCATGCTCTGTGTGACAGAGGTAGGATGTGGAAAAACAGCAGGACTCTTCCCGCATTCACGTGCTAGACAGAACTACTGTAGGAAACTCTGACATTTCCGACTTGCTAACTGGTTGTAGTTATACACATGCCGCATTCAACAAATCCGCAAGTTGGACATTTTCGAGTCTCCTATTTCCGACTAGCATATGAACGCAGCGTCTCTCCTCCTTTCCTGGACAGTAAAGCCAAGCCACAGTGACTGACTAGCAGTGCATACAGTACTAAAGAGGACTGGTGATGGAGCTATCTGAGTGTGTTTCAAATGGATCTGATCTGTGGGCTATTAGTGTCATTTAAGAGGCCTCGTGCCATTACTGAGAACATCTGTGTGTGACTCAGAGTTATCATGTGTAGCAGGACATGGCGGAGAGTGTGTGGAGTGGAGTTTCCAATTAGGGTTGAGGTTCTCCCATGGATTTGAAAGGATCCTGTTGTCTACCCATTCACCCTCTCGCTCTCTCTCTCCCCCTCCTCCCTACTCTTCACCCTTATCTTGCATGAGAGGAGACAGCTGGGGATTGATGGCAAAGGAATTTTCTTTATCGCCTTGGTCCTCCTGCAGTGAGACCTGCATACGCACGTGTCAACACACTAAACCACAGACAAACACACAAATACTTGCAGTAACACACTTGGAAAATAGGGGTAGGGTTGTAGAGAATCGAAGGACCATGAATGTAGTAAGAAATCTTAGGTGCTGGCTTAAGGCCGGTAGCAACCACTCCAGAATGTCCGTCAGAACAAGGATGAGGCGGGTGTCCAGGTTATGGAGAGTTTAATGGAAGAAGATGTCCATATTCACACACACACACACACATCTGACCGCTCATGGTTCAGATAACTGAGAATCATGTCTAGTGAGAACTGACATTAACTACATGGTCCTGAAAGGAAAGAGGAGAAAGAAAACTCAGGCTATAGCACTGCTATAATATGAATGACATGGCTGTATAAGCTAGCACAGGTAAGTATATAACAGCAAGGGCTATACACTACAGCAGGCATAAAGCCTAGTCACATGGCAATAGACTAAACAGCCTATTGGACTTGTACACATGAAACTCAGGCAAATGTGCTCAAGTAAACATTACAGTAATGTTGGAATGTATACATAATATAATTACAATGAGCATGAGTGATATACAGTGAGGGAAAAAAGTATTTGATCCCCTGCTGATTTTGTATGTTTGCCCACTGACAAAGACATGATCAGTCTATAATTTTAATGGTAGGTTTATTTGAACAGTGAGAGACAGAATAACAACAACAAAAATCCAGAAAAAACGCATGTCAAAAATGTTATAAATTGATTTACATTTTAATGAGGGAAATAAGTATTTGACCCCTCTGCAAAACATGACTTAGTACTTGGTGGCAAAACCCTTGTTGGCAGTCAGAGGTCAGACGTTTCTTGTAGTTGGCCACCAGGTTTGCACATCTCAGGAGGGATTTTGTCCCACTCCTCTTTGCAGATCTTCTCCAAGTCATTAAGGTTTTCGAGCCTGACGTTTGGCAACTCAAACCTTCAGCTCCCTCCACAGATTTTCTATGGGATTAAGGTCTGGAGACTGGTTAGGCCACTCCAGGACCTTAATGTGCTTCTTCTTGAGCCACTCCTTTGTTGCCTTGGCCGTGTGTTTTGGGTCATTGTCATGCTGGAATACCCATCCACGACCCATTTTCAATGCCCTGGCTGAGGGAAGGAGGTTCTCACCCAAGATTTGACGGTACATGGCCTTGTCCATCGTCCCTTTGATGCGGTGAAGTTGTCCTGTCCCCTTAGCAGAAAAACACCCCCAAAGCATAATGTTTCCACCTCCATGTTTGACGGTGGGGATGGTGTTCTTGGGGTCATAGGCTGCATTCCTCCTCCTCCAAACACGTTGAGTTGATGCCAAAGAGCTCCATTTTGGTCTCATCTGACCACAACACTTTCACCCAGTTCTCCTCTGAATCATTCAGATGTTCATTGGCAAACTTCAGACGTGCATGTATATGTGCTTTCTTGAGCAGGAGGACCTTGCGGGCGCTGCAGGATTTCAGTCCTTCACGGTGTAGTGTGTTACCAATTGTTTTCTTGGTGACTATGGTCCCAGCTGCCTTGAGATCATTGACAAGATCCTCCCGTGTAGTTCTGGGCGGATTCCTCACCGTTCTCACGATCATTGCAACTCCACAAGGTGAGATCTTGCATGGAGCCACAGGCCAAGGGAGATTGACAGTTATTTTGTGTTTCTTCCATTTGCGAATAATCGCACCAACTGTTGTCACCTTCTCACCAAGCTGCTTGGCGGTGGTCTTGTAGCCCATTCTAGCCTTGTGTAGGTCTACAATCTTGTCCCTGACATCCTTGGAGAGCTCTTTGGTCTTGGCCATGGTGGAGAGTTTGGAATCTGATTGATTGATTGCTTCTGTGGACAGGTGTCTTTTATACAGGTAACAAACCCTTTAAGAGTGTGCTCCTAATCTCAGCTCGTTACCTGTATAAAAGACACCTGGGAGCCAGAAATCTTTCTGATTGAGAGGGGGTCAAATACTTATTTCCCTCATTAAAATGCAAATCAATTTATAACATTTTTTTTATAAAGTTTTTCTGGATTTTGTTGTTGTTATTCTGTCTCTCACTATTCAAATAAACCTACCATTAAAATTATAGACTGATCATTTCTTTGTCAGTGGGCAAACGTACAAAATCAGCAGGGGATCAAATACTTTTTTCCCTCACTGTGTGTGTGTATATATATATATATATATATATATATATATATATATATATATATATATATATATAGTAAATAGCCTAGCACCATGAATGAGCAATGCTAATAAATGGCTAATCGCGAACAGTCATGCTAAAATGCTCATGCATTCCAATGCAAACTGCTAACGGTAGGGCTAACGTCTAGCGGGAGCATGAGCTAGCTAACAGCTCAACACCGGTAAATTATACACAATAGTAACCACCAAACTTAGCTCCACATAATAATGGACACAGATCTCAAGGCACTGACGTTTAGTTCATGCACAATTAATATCAGACATACCGGGATTTCCAGTTCCACAGGAGGAAAAGTTCGCAGGAGGTAACCTGGGGAAAGCACGTTTCTGACCATAAAAAAAAAAAAAAAAAAAAAAAAAAAAAAAAAAAAAAAAAAAAAAAAAAAAAACACAGTGTGCTGGGGTCATAGACTAATGAACTGAAGTCCCGGGAATCAAGGCCACTGAATAGGCTGAAGGAGACGTGGTGATAAATTAGTTGGGCATGAAACTTGACCAATTTTACTGACACTAACAACAATGGGGGTCCTCGTATGGGAGACTAAGCTGGCCCAACTAAACTAACCAGAAGGGATGCTAGAATCACTGACTATTGTTTTTAACACCACTCTTTCTTTTATGTACACACTAAAACCTTCACATAAGGTCTCTACTAATCCATAATTGTTTTATAAAACTCCTCTATTTCTGTTTCTCTGTGTTTCCAGTTGTCGTACCAGTAACAGGAAGAGTCTGATCCTGACCACCACCTCCCCCACTCTGCCCCACCGCCCACACTCTCCTCTGCCCCTCCCTGGACACCTCGGTACGTACTACAGCCAAGTCTCTCAGACTACAAACATATTACTGTAAACACGTCATTTTACAGTACCTCTCCTTCCCTCTCATGCTCTGTCTGTTTCTCTATTCCCATTCCTTTATGTTTCCAGGAAGTAGCCCTCTGGACAGCCCACGCAACTTCTCTTCCAGCACCCCGGCACACTTCTCATTCGCCTCCTCCAGAAGGTAACAGCTCCCTGACACTGTATGTGTATGCATGCGTGTGTATGTGTGTGTGTGTGTGTGTGAGAGAGAGGGAGGGAGAGGTGAATACCTGTTAGATGCAGGTCTAGCACCTCCCAGTGAGAATGATCACACCTCTCAGAGTCAGTGGTGAGAGGAAGCCAAAAAGCCTGGGCAGGAGGTCTGTGTATGTGTGTATGTATACACAACAACATACACATGTGAGGTCCAATCCAGTCATCCCTTCTCTTCCCAGTCAGTCAGTCAGTCAGTCAGATTTAGAAGAGCAGAAGCAGGAGCAGCAATAGCTTCCTGTGCTCACTGCTCTCATTTATCAAATCCCTCTCCCTGTCTGTCACTGCGGCATGCTGCAGCTCCATAGAAACACAATGGCCAGGCCACTCCACTCAGGCTTCGGCTTCTCTATTCCCTCTCTCTTCGGATGGCTCCTATGACTAATACAATACGGTGGATCAGTTGTGTTATACAGAATGTTGATGTTGGGCATAAGTCTGATGCTCTCAGGTTTAATACTGTACATTGTTGTTCTCCTCTGAAGGGCGGATGGTCGACGATGGTCCCTGGCATCTCTGCCCTCCTCTGGATATGGCACCAACACGCCCAGCTCCACGGTATCACAGATTTGACCCTGCTTTATCTCATCTCGTGCATCAATGGCATTTTCCTAAAAAGCTCTTAGTCTTTTCTTCAAAACGCGCCTTCTTACACTTTATCTTTCTCCTTTGTCTGACTTACTTCACTTTCTCTGTCTCCCTTTCTCTTTCTCACACTATGGCACACTCTTACTGTCTCTGTCATTGCCTCAGGGTCTTCTTCAGTTTCTCTCTCTCATTCACACACTCATAGACACACACACATACCAGCACACACCTCATCTCTACCCACATTTTCTCTCTTTGATTCTCCTCCCTCAGGTCTCTCTCTCTGTTTTTCTCATTTATCAGAGGCCTGGGGACTGCTCTCGTCTGGCCAGGGAGAGAGGGAGGAACAGAGGAGGGTAGCTAGATAAGTACCAGACTGGTGGGATGAGAGAGGAGAGTAGAAAAGAGGAGAAAATAGGTAGTGCAAGTACACGCTGTTCGGTGCTCAATTCACCACAGGCTCTATTTAGCTAAATACCCCCATTGGAAATAATACGTCAACAAACGACACATATGTATCTGAATGAGCCAAGACATGGACTTGGACTGAGTCTGATCATGGATATCTATATGGTGGACACAGATCCATTTGGGAGTGAAAACAATGCTTTTTCAATACCCTGGCAGACATATAAAGAAAGCAGCATCGATGAATAACAGAACATTTATAACCATGAAATGCCGTGACAGAGATAATCTTCCCCCTCCTTCCATCCACCCTTGTCCTGATTGTTTTAAGCAGGGATGCCAATTGGGATTGATTTGGGATTGATCCTGTGGTTAGTGGTGAATGTTAAGTCCCATTGCTTTGACTCAGCAGGTAAATGAGTCTGTGTCTGAAAGAGACAGATTAATGTAGCAGCCCCTTGTGCTGGGCTCACTTCATTAGTGTCTCTCTCTGTCTCTCAGAGGTGAGACAGTTGGACGAGGTTAACTGTCCCGACTCCCCAGTATAGCCACTACCAGAGCCACCAGAGCACATAACTAGCTATGGTTCTGGCCAATACAATAACTGGATTTCATGTATGAGAGAACATCACTTTTTTTTGCTGGTTTTTGATGTTCTAACTTTCATCCTCTTTTGTCTTCTGTCCAACTCCTCCACTCTTCCGCCCTTCTCTTTCTCCTCCCTCTCTTCCTCCCCCTCCAGTCCTCCAGCTCATCTCAGGAGCGGCTGCACCAGCTGCCCTTCCAGCCCACCATGGACGAGCTGCACTTCCTGTCCAAGCACTTCGGCAGCACCGAGAGCATCGCTGACGACGACGGGGGCCGCTGCTCACCCCATATGCGCCCGCGTTCCCGCAGCCTCAGTCCTGGACGCTCCCCCTCCTGCTATGACAATGAGATCGTCATGATGAACCATGTGTACAAGGAGCGCTTCCCCAAGGTAAGACATGACACATGCACAGACGCACATGCACACACACACACACACACAAAACATAATTTTCTCTCACACTTTCAAGTGCAAGTAAGGATAAGGATTGGTTAGAGCAGACTGGTATCAAAAGGAAGCAGGTTATGATGTTTGCTCAGTGTGGTACTGTATGTCAGAGATAAAAAAAATAATGAAGTTTGATGTTTCAGAGGGGAAATTAGGTAAACGCTGTCACCCTCTGATTTGTATGTCAGAAGTTATGTCTATTTTTAAACGGGTGTAAGTGAGAATGATGGAAATACCACGGGTCAATGGAGCAGGAACTTAACTATTTCAGTTTTGAATGTAAAATATGAAATAGGTAAAAGGTGAACTCTCCTAACTCTGTTTCCTGTCTCTCCCTCTCTCCTCCCCCCTCTCCCAGGCCACGGCTCAGATGGAGGAGCATCTAGCAGAGTTCATCAATGCCTTCTCCCCTGAGAGCGTGCTGCCGCTGGCCGACGGGGTCATCAGCTTCATCCACCATCAGATAGCAGAGCTGTCCAGAGACTGCCTGTCCAAGGCTCGCGAGGGCCTCATCACCACCGTCTACTTCTTTGAGCTGCAGGAGAACCTGGAGAAGCTGCTCAATGATGTGAGTCACAGAAACGCTGCAAGTATAGGCTAAGATGTCATGATAGGTGCCATGACAGGCCAGTTCTGGGGTTATTGAGCTGCCCAGAAGCCAGTCTTATGTTGCAGTGTTAACATCAGCATAGCCCTGAGTGGAATTGTTGCATGTGAGCTACATTGTCTTCATATCAGGCTCTCCTCAGGTCTGGGTGGCCTAGCTGCAGGCTGCTGAGAGGCACATTTAGTTCCTATCATCTCATTTCAAATGGCAGCACTACGCCTTTCAGTAGGATAAGAACGAGGAAAGGAGTAAAATAAGGCTATTGTGTAATAGTGCGTGTGATTTGTCTGAGCAGATAGAAGATATCAAGGAACTTCATCTGCACTCCCGGTTTGACGGGTTGATTAAATCGGTCTGATTATTATGGGTTGCCAGTATTCTGTTTGATTGGATTAGTTTTGCCTGGAATATGACTGTTCTCACATCCCACGTTGCTCCAAAGCTTGGATTTTTTTTTCTTCTTTTTCTGTCTGTCTCTCTCTCTCTCTCTCTCTCTCTCTACTTCTCTCTCTCTCCCTCTACATTTCCCTCTCTCGCTCTCTTCGTCCATCTATTTCTCTCTCTCTCAGGCGTATGAGCGATCAGAGAGCTCAGAGGTGGCCTTCGTCACAGAGCTGGTGAAGAAGCTCCTCATCATCATCTCTCGCCCAGCAAGGCTGCTGGAGTGCCTGGTGAGAATAGAACACATAACTCTCTTAACACAGTCACGGTCATGGTAATGGTCACTGGCGTGTTCAGTCACATTCACGGTCCATGGCCCCACTAAGTATTTAACAGACCATATCCCTGGCCTGGACCAAAGACAAATTAATTTCCTTAAATAAATATGAGCACAAACACTCATTTGCGGTTCCATTATAAACATTGAAACAGGAGGGTTTATTACACAGTAGGGGCAAAAATACTGAGCTCCAACTAAGCACCTCGATAAAAGGCCCAATCTGCCTGGCTAGTGACTACATTTGCATTTAGATTAAAATTAAATTTGCCTCGCTACAGTATTACAAATACCAGCGGCCCCCTGAAGTGCTGTCTGAGTCTCACAGACCATGACTGTGTCATTTAAAGTTTGAGCCTGTGTGTGTAGCCCAGACTGACTCAAGGTCTCTGGCAGAGCAGTAATCCTGTCCTCTGGGTGAACGCAGCCGGCAGGCCTCATAAACCAGGTTTCCATTCAACCTTTTTATGCGAGTAAAGTACATGTTGGATAAAAAAATGTAATGACAGGACTGATGGAAACAGAACATTTTTCATTAAACTTTCCAAATGTCGACAAAACAAAAAACGCTTGACAAGGTGGGATCTTTTTGTGTCGGTAAAATTAATTATGCGAGAAATGACGGTGGAAAGGCTTTTATGCTCAAATATTGAAATAATAACCCATTAACGTAAACTTGGAGTCACGTGATGACATGTTGTGTAGTCCTCCCACTACTACTCGTCGGGGAAGCATGCAGTTTATTAGGCTACAAATTAAATAATTGATGATGAACTTCACAGGGAGGTGAAAGTGCAAGGTGATGAGCTTGATGCTCCTTTCCAATAACGATCAAGGGTCTTATTCTGGTGACATGATCATCGATGCTTGACTGCCGTTTGACAAAAATAAAAATAATCTCGCTCTTTTGTCCATAATAATCTCATCAACTCAACTCTGGACCTCGAAGCCAGTTCCACTGCGTTTTTTCATTGTTCCCCTCTAATCAGAGACTGATTTAGACCTGGGACACCATGTGGGTGCATTTAATAACTTAAAACAGAAAACCAGCAGGCTCCAGACCTCGTAGGTTAACAGTTGAATACCCATGATGTAGGCTATACGTGTGCTCTAGCCAACAGCGCAGATACAGTACTGTGCCAATACCATCAGTGAAGTAAAAAATTTGATGGAAACCCATTAAATTGTAAACATGTATTCGGTGCATGCATAGCTGTGGGGAGTAGGGGTGCTGGGGGTGCTGGGGCACCCCCTGAAAAAACAGAAGGAAAAAAAAAATATTGTTGTTTAATTTATTTGGAAAAAATATATTCACAAAAGTAGTGCACTGGGCCTTTACTGGTCCTGTATTAGCGGACCAATATAGCCGTCTGAAGCGCAGGCAATACAATTATACAGAACAAAACTATAATTGCAACAATTTCATTTTTACTGAGTTAGTTAATATAAGGAAAACAGTCAATTTAAATAAATAAATTAGGCCCTAATCTATCGATTTCACATGACTGGGCAGGGGTGCAGCCATGGGTGGGCCTGGCATAGGCCCACTCACTTGGCAGTTAGGCCCAGCCACTAGGGAGCCAGGCCCAGCCAATCAGAATGAGTTTTTCCCCACAAAAGGGCTTTATTACAGACAGAAATTCTCCTCAGTTTCATCAGCAGTCCGGGTGGCTGGTCTGAGACGATCCCGCAGGTGAAGAAGCCAGATGTGGAGGTCCTGGGCTGGCATGGTTACACGTGGTCTGCGGTTGTGAGGCCGGTTGGACATACTGCCAAATTCTCTAAAATGACATTGGAGGCAGCTTACGGTAGAGAAATTAACATTCAATTCTCTGACAACAGCTCTGGTGGACATTCCTGCAGTCAGCACGCCAATTGCACACTCCCTCAAAACTTGAGACATCTGTGGCATTGTATCGTGTGACAAATCTGCACATTTTTAAAGTGGCCTTTTATTGTCCTCAACACAAGGTGCACCTGTGTAATGAATTTGGCTGTTTAATCAGCTTATTGATATGCTACCTGTTGTAGAAAATTATCAAACAAACAAAGTACTTTCAGAGTTTTTGTAGAATCAAGATAGACTTTATTACACAAGCAATAGAGCCGAGCTGGTCTGCAGAGCAACTGCCGTCCCAGACTTGGAGCTCTCTTTTTATACAGCTTCATCTTTTCATATCATATCTGAGCCACTATGGTTTCTTTGTCTAGCTTCTTTCCTGTCTATCCCCATGTCTGCTTGGTCTCCTTTTCATGTCATATCTTTGTCCTGACCGTGTGACCAGGTTACTCAGAAGCAACAAGAAATGGAAACAATACAGGTCTATCTGTTCCTGAAGTTTATCTCCATCCCAAGTCCTTGACTACACGCCAGACCAGCTGCAGGGAGCTAGAGGGAACCATCCTTTCTCAGAAGCACAGCATTTGCACTAAATAAATGTCTCTACTATTGTTAAGCATATTATAACATATGTAATGGAAAAATACCTATAGAGCCATTTCATCATGGAACCCTTTTATTTGTTCTTAATCCATAGGCATATAGGGCATATAAGCATTTCATTCTACAACATGAATAATTAATATAATTGGTTTGTTATGTTGTCTGCCCTTAAGTGAGACAGAGTAGTTAACTAAAAATCTCCAATACACCCTTGTCAGGTGGATGGATTATCTTGGTAAAGAGAAATGCTCACTAACAGGAATGTAAACAAATTTGTGCACACAATTTGAGAGAAATAAGCTTTTTGTGCATATAGAAAATGTCGGGGATATTTTATTTCAGCTCATGAAACATGGGACCAGCGCTTTACATGTTGCGTTTATATTTTGGTTCAGGATAGTTCTATCTTGATAAAAGTAGTGTTATACCTGTGTCACACTGAATGTGGTCCCCCTCTTCCTGTCCTCCAGGAGTTTAATCCAGAGGAGTTCTACCACCTGATGGAGGCAGCAGAGGACCACGCCAAGGAGGGACACCTGATGAAGACAGACATCCCTCGCTACATTATCAGCCAGCTGGGACTGACCAGAGACCCTATAGAGGGTGAGCGAGAGAATGAGTCCAAGAGAAAAAGAGAAAGAGGAAACCTTGACTTGTGTTGACTACTGTTGCTCTGTCACTCTGTGTATTGCTGAAATGGAGCTCATATTTACTCCCTCTGTCTGTCCTCAGAAATGGTTAATCTGGACAGCTACGACAGTGAGGGACCTCTCACACCAGAAACAGACGACTCAACAGAGGTGAGAACCTTGTCCCTACTCCACCTCTCCCCAGCCCACCCACCATCAACCCCCCTCTCTCTGTCCCTTTGGGTTAAGTCAAACTGTAGTCCAAGGCCCTACTGGCTGTAATAAATATGACTGCTTCCTCTACTTGGCACAGTGGACATTAATCTACGCAATTGAGTCCATTTGCTTTAATTAGAGTCTGAAGTCAAAAGCAGGATATCCTCTAGTGCTTTGTATGCCTGCAATCAGCCATCCTTCAACCATTAGGACAGGTGCCAAAATTCAGCTAAGTGGACAAGAAGTCAGGAAGACAAGGGTAGCACTGGGGGAACATAGAGAAGACGTCACTCCTGTGGGCCTGGTGTTGGAGGTCTGGCCAGATCCAGTCTTGTCTTACCCTGTTGTCATGTTCTCTCCCTCAGGGCAAGATGAGAGCCATGAAGCCGCCCGAAGAGGCTGACTTCCAGACCATTAAGCTGATCAGCAATGGAGCCTACGGGTGAGTGTGGGTGTGTTCATGCATATGAATGTTACATTAGTACATGTATATGAGCCATCTTGTTGATGTCCATTGAATGGTTTTAACAGAAAACACTGGATTTACTCAGTAAAATGTGTAAAATATCTGATTATTAACTGTGTGTATGCGTGTGTGTCTCCAGAGCTGTTTACCTGGTCCGTCACCTGGAGACCCGTCAGCGTTTCGCCATGAAGAAGATCAACAAGCAGAACCTGATACTGAGGAACCAGATCCAGCAGGCCTTCGTAGAGAGAGACATACTGACCTTCGCTGAGAACCCCTTCGTGGTCTCCATGTTCTGCTCCTTCGAGACCCGCAGACACCTCTGTATGGTCATGGAGTATGTAGAGGGTAAGTTAACGCAATAATATACTGGACACCATTACTTGTCTGTTTAGGACAAGAGCAGCATTTAGGACATTGCTGGGGATGGGAATGCTAGCAGTCAGTCTGATCACGTATTATCTGTTGTCAGGGGGAGACTGTGCCACCCTGCTGAAAAACATTGGGGCATTGCCTGTGGAGATGGCGCGCATGTACTTTGCAGAGACCGTCCTAGCGCTGGAGTACATTCACAACTATGGCATTGTGCACCGCGACCTCAAACCAGACAAGTAAGACCTCACTTGTGTTGTCATTGAACAATTATCAGATGGGACTCATTGGGGTGAACTCAAAGTTTGATTATATTACAAACATGAAGAGTGTTTCAGGTAACCTTTGATCTGTCTGTCCCCAGTCTTCTGATCACTTCCATGGGGCACATCAAACTGACTGACTTCGGCCTGTCTAAGATGGGTCTGATGAGCCTCACCACCAACCTGTACGAGGGACACATCGAGAAGGACACCAGGGAGTTCCTAGACAAACAGGTGTGCACTGTATATAGAGCAGAGAAACTTATAACCACCACAGTATACACAATGACTTTGCAGTAATATATTTTAATTTCTACATTTTCCATAACCATTCAGACAGAAAGAAACGATCACTTTTTGATTTATTTATTTCTAGACAAATTAATTAATAAATGCTGAATTTAAAATGTGTGCATATAGTTGTCAAAGCATGAATAAATGAAATGATCAACATCTAACAAAATGATAACCAAATATTCCTCAGTTATTATAATCAGCTGTCTTTTCAGATGTTTTGTTTTTCCCAACCCTTTGAATGGTACTGCTTCAATTAAATCCCCAATTATTTATTGGCTCGGCTTTCTCACAGCCACAGATCTGTTAGCATTTGATGAATACCCATCTGCACATGAAAACACAACATCCAGAGCTTTCATGTTTCATCCTGGCATTCTCGCATTGATCCCCTCATTTAGGCAGAAACGTGTATTGGCCACACGTGTCTCCCACTCACATTTTGAGAGAGACTGGCCTTAGCATCTCACCAGCAGTGTTTTATCCATAGATATGAATATAGAACCTCTCATAGGAGCTCTGTGGTTCTGTCCTCCATCAGGTGTGTGGCACGCCAGAGTACATTGCCCCGGAGGTGATCCTGAGACAGGGCTATGGGAAGCCAGTGGACTGGTGGGCTATGGGCATCATCCTCTATGAGTTTCTGGTGGGCTGTGTGCCCTTCTTTGGAGACACGCCTGAGGAGCTCTTTGGACAGGTCATCACAGGTGAGAAGTTGGGGGTTAGTGGGTTCATTGAGCAGCATCTTGCAGACATTTTGAAGCCATATTTCTCACTTCTACATTGTCCAATGCAACTTATCTCTGTCTCTTGTAGATGACATAGTGTGGCCAGAAGGTGATGAGGCTCTTCCTGCCGATGCTCAGCATCTGATCTCTACTCTACTTCAGACCAACCCACTGGTCCGACTGGGCACAGGTCTGCATACACGTGCATGTTGACAACATGCTTAACATCAGACGTATGCTGTAACAGAGATGGACCAAACTGTCCATTCATAGTGAAAATATAGATTCACTCAACAACACACACCTTATCTCTCTCCCTCTCTCCCCCTCCCCCTCTCCCTTTCATTCTCTCTCGCTGCCCCAGGTGGTGCATTTGAGGTGAAGCAGCACTCATTCTTCACTGAACTGGACTGGAACAGTCTGCTGAGACAGAAGGCTGAGTTCATCCCCCACCTAGAGTCAGAGGAGGATACCAGCTACTTCGACAGTGAGTCTCTCTCTAACTGCACTGCCCCCTGGCTACATGGAGGGGAACTGTGCTGACTCGTTGCATTCTTAATGTATAGAATCACCAGAAGGCAGTAGTATTTAAATAATTTCAGCGGGGACACCATTCTCTTCTCCAGAATTTCTGGGGACACCATTTTTTTGCAACAATTTCTTGTGACCCCAGCCCACTCCACCCCTAATCTAATGACAAAACCTTCATCAGTAAATGTTGGTTTTTACATTAACAAATAACCTTCAATAACATTTGAATCTCTTATCTAAGAAACCAATAAATACATTTACTCAATAAAATTGTATTACTCAAAAAGGTTTGTTTATTGTCCCATACAATAATATTTACTCTTAATTTTTTGTTCCTAAAAAAATAACTGCAGTTCCCCGACATTGAATACCACTGGTATAAGGGATAGAGATAAGAACTAGCTGTGTTTGGAGCTTTGATGTACTTGTCCAATTTGTCTGTTTGCATTTGTATGTGTGTAACACCCTGTCCTACTCCGTCCCCAGCCCGCTCTGACCGCTACCACCACGTCCACTCTTATGACGAGGACGACACCAATGATGATGAACCTGTCGAGATCCGCCGTTTCTCCTCCTGCTCCCCTCGCTTCAGCAAGGTCAAACTCTACACTTACTCATCCTTAAACTTACCTTAAAACTTCAATTAAACGCTGTCTCAAATAGCCGCCTGTCCCTTTTAATAGCCGGCCATCGGCACACATTTCAGCAAATAAACGGCTGTTTCAAATAAACGCTGGGTCTAAATGAGTTGTTTACAACGTTACCATGAATTACCATGAATTGTTTACGAGGTTTAATGTTTGATTTGTTACATTAGATAATTCAGTAATGACTCGAAAAAAGGATGGCAATCATCAGTTTTTATCGCCAGTAAGAAACTGCTAGCCATTGGCTACTAACAGATGAGAACTGCTAGCTAACAGACAAGCACAAAAACAGTCAACAACTTCAGGAGTACAGACCCCCCAGAAATCAGCTGATCGCTCTAGTGGCGAAGGTAAGAACTGCCGAACAAATGCACAGTCAAAGAGGAGGATAATTATTCTATCAATGGTTCTATATCGTGGAGCTCCGCCCCATAGGGGAGCTCTGCTCCTAGTGGTTTACCCTCTGCCCTACGGCAGCAGCAGCCTGAGACAAAATTATGCACACACCTACAGCCAATAGGAGTACAGGTGTCCCTATAAGAGGGGATGCCTCCCCTCAATCAGCCTCCCTTTTTCTTCAGCGACTGGATGACTAGACTGAAGAGCCAAGAAGAGACGAAGCACGAAGACTCAGGACGAAAACGCCGTTGATATTCCAGTCATCAACGTCGTCTAAATGAGCACACCGGGAGATTTTCCACCCCCAAAAGCTATTTTCAGAGCTCAGTGCAGATGCACTTCCATGGCGGCCGGTGACCACCACGACCTATGTTTCGTGTGTTTGGGATCCCAGCATGCCAAGGAAGGCGTCTGCAGTCCCCCGAATTGCGCCTCCTGCGCCCTCCTTTCTTTAAAGGAGAGGAAGCAGCGTTGGGCGTTTTTCAGGGAGGACATCCCCCTTGAGGATGTGCTGTCGATACTAGCCTCTGCTTCAGAGGCGTCGTCCGACGGCGCAGACTCGGGGGAAGATAGGGACTTTGAGGAAGAGTCTGGCATTCCAATGGAACAGTCGGACCCCGTCCCTCATACTTTCAAGCCCCCCTTTCCTTTGGAGAGCGAGAGGGCTTGTAGTCCCTATAGCGAAGGGGATACGAGCTCTGAGAGATCAGAAGCTCTCTCTTTCGCTGCAGCCTCTCTGAGATCGGACTTTCCGGGTCTCATTGAGAGAGCTGCTCAACGGCTGGTAATAAGGCTGCCCCCTCTTCCCTCCGCACCGGAGGTTGATATGATGGAGGGCGGTCCTTATTCCAGGCCAAGGAAGGCGGCAGAGCCAGTGGCTCCTGCCATGCCTTCTTTGGCTAGGTACGTTGAGGGCTCGTGGGAGGCACCTTTCGCCTGTAAAAGCGTATCTCCCATTCACGAGAGTGGAAGGAAGGTTTCAGGGTCAGGGAATCCCCAGGTTAGAGAGCGCCATGGCGGCGTATCTCGTACCGGGTTCGAGCCCTTGGCCCTCTTCCAAGAAGGCCACGTTGCCATCCCAGAAGGACCGACTCACAGCACAGCTGTTAGAGAAGTCTTTTGGGTTGGGAGCCCAAGCTGTAGCAGCAGCTAACAACATTTCCCTCTTGGCGGCCTCTCTGTCCCGTTTAACCACGGGTAAGACAGAGATGGCACCGGAGGAGGTGGAGGAGGCGTCCAGAATTTCTGGCGCTATACTCCACCTGACACAGGCGTCCGCAGTCTGCGCGGGGAGATCCATGGCCACTTCGGTGGTCGGGGAACGACACCTCTGGTTGTCATTGACATCCATGAAAGAGGCAGACAGGACGTCTCTCTTGAACGCCCCCCTCTCTGACGACGGCCTCTTTGGGGTCGCAGTCAAAGAGGCGACGGAGCGTTTCTCTAAGTTAGAGGAGGAGAAGAAGCAGTTGGCCAAGCACCTGCCGTTGGCAGGACGACTCGGCCCCCCTCCTCCCCAAAGGCCATCTACCTCCGCCCCTCTAAGTAGACCGGGGTCTACGACGAGGCGGCGTAATCGGCGTCATCCGGCGGCCACGAGCAGCAAGGGAACGGGCCCGGCCCTCCCAGCAGCTACGGTAGCCCCACTACAGCCGGCGAGGGAGGTGACGAGGACGCCGACCTGGCCCTCCAAGGGAGGCAAGAGGAGGCGTACGTGACGGGACGCGGGGGAGAGGATGGAGGACGCATCGATGGTGTCGAACGTGCCCACTGTCCCCCCCCCACCCTTCGGTTGAAGGGATGGGTGTTGATGTTAATGCCTTTGTTGATGTGTTTAATAAAGAGTTGGCTCCACCTGACTTTGTCAAAAAATAGCCTCTTTTCCATAATACGTCCGAGAGCGTTCAAATCTCACCCTCTCTTCCTTACCACTCTAAGAGCCGTTCAGCCCACCGAGGGTGCGTTGCTGAACAGGCACTAAGAGTAGGTATCCAGAAGACCTCAATCAGGTCGTCACATCACACTTCACGTATAAGAAGTGCTTTACATAGAAGGCAGCAGTCCCGGTCAGATTCTGACATGAGGACGCAGCCGCTATTTGGGGATGGCGCACTAGCACAGACTAAGGTCTCCACTAGTACGAGCCAGACCCATGCTGCGTTCACGGAGGGCCCGATTACCGCGGTCACCAAGGTGCCCAGAGTATCGGCACCCCCAGGCATTGTAACACAGCAGCTATCTGGGGACAGCAGCTATCAGACCCATGCTACGTTCACGGAGGGCAGGATTACTAGCGTTATGGGTATAACCAAAGTATCAGCTCCCCTGACAGAACGAGCCAGTACTCACCACACTGAGCGTGAATCAACCCACCAGGGGTGCAGTGTTGAACACACACAGAAGGTGAAAGTCAAGAAGGTATCAAGGCGCCGCCTTGTTTTACCTCATAGAGACCTCATACTACAGACTTCTAGGAGTACTGTAGTGAAGGGCTCTGATAGCGAATTGCAGTCACCTAAGATGACGCAATTGCTTGCTGGGGATGGTGCCCTGCCGCAGGCTGTGGCCTCGGTCAGCGCAATTCAGACCCGCGATGCGTTCAAGGAGGGCAGGAATACGACGGTTACGGGTTTAACCGACGTCCCTACTCCTCTTTCTTTCTCAGAACGCATCGATAGTTCCTCTCCCTTTCACGGGAGGCCCACCTTGGGCTGTTCCACCACTTCAATGTTGGGGAACAGTGGCGGTAAGGGCCATAGAGGAATACAGGTCCTTCCTACTGGATGCACCACAGCTTCGCGCCCAGCCGCTTTCTCTGCATTGCTGGCAGTGGCGAAGAAGCTGCACCCTCTCACGCTGGCTAGAACAGACGTTGCAGAAGGGTTATGCCCTCCAATTCCACCGGACCCCACCCCCGTTCAGGGGAGTGGTGGAGACGGTGATGAAAACGCCAGACAAAGTGGCCGCTCTGATGACAGAGATTACGGAACTTTTGGCGAAGGAGGCGGTGACAGTAGTTCCCCGGGAGCAAAGGAACAAAGGGCTATATTCGCCTTATTTCCTATTGCCCAAAAAGACGGGGGGAGTGAGGCCGATTTTGGATTTACGCATTCTCAACGAGAGCATAACCAAACGGCCCTTCCGAATGCTAACGACAAAACGTCTGCTGGAATGTGTCCAGAGAGGGGACTTTTGTACGAGCATAGACCTAAAGGACGCGTACTTTCATGTGCCGGTTCAGCTGCGTCACAGGAAGTTTCTGCGGTTCGCCTTTCAAGGGGTGGCGTACGAATACACGAGGATGCCATTTGGGTACGCCCTGGCACCTCGCACATTTTCCAAGTGTGTGGAGGCGGCATTGGAACCGTTGCGTCGTCAGGGAATACGGCTACTAGCCTACCTGGACGACCTACTGGTTCTCGCCCCGTCAGCAGAGCTGGCGATCACTCACACAACACAGACAGTGATGCATCTCACAAGTCTGGGGTTTGCTGTGAATTGGAAAAAGAGCGCGCCCTGGCCCACTCATCAGATTGTCTATCTGGGGATACAGCTAGACACTGTGAGGATGAGGGCCCGAATCTCGGACCCCCGAAGGGTAGCCTTGTTGCTAGCCCTAAGGAAGTGTCGTCCGAATCACACGGTGACGGCGCTGTCGATCATGTCACTTTTGGGTCTCATGTCGTCAGCCCACTCTGTGGTTCCGCTGGGACTCCTGCATATGCGCAGGATGCAGCGATGGTTCGCCCAACTAAGACTAGACCCATTGCGTCAACGTCATCGGTTGGTGGTGGTTCCCCTCTCGCTCAGTGCAGACCTAAACTATTGGAGAAACTCACGCGTTCTCACGCACGGAGTCCCGATAGGAAAGGTGTCCTCTCACATCCCAGTATTCACGGATGCGTCCCTGACGGGATGGGGAGGAACATGTCAGACACAAGCGATAGGTGTGTGGCCTCAATCAGGTCGTCACATCAACCTCCTGGAGTTGGAAACGGTTCGACTGGTTCTGACCCACTTCGAGTCTACCCTTCGGGGTCGCGATGTGCTGGTCTGGTCAGACAACCGGACCACAGTAGCCCACATAAATCGCCAGGGAGGAGTCAGGTCTCCTGCTCTCCATCGGGCGGCAGAGGAATTGTGGCTGTGGGCTCACGAGCACCTTCGCTCATTGAGAGCAGCACACATTCCGGGCTACTTGAACGTAGGAGCAGACCTCATGTCAAGAGGGGGTCCTCGAGACGACGAGTGGTGTCTGCATCCAGACATTGTTCTCCAGATTTGGGAACAATTCGGGAGAGCCGAGGTGGACCTATTCGCGTCACGCGTGAACGCGCAATGTCCTCTGTGGTTCTCTCTGAGGGAATAGGACGAACCGCCACTGGGAAGGGACGCCTTTGCGCACCAACCGTGGCCGAGAGTTCTCCTGTATGCATTCCCTCCGCTGTCCTGCATTCTCCCACTGCTAGCCAGGGTGAGGTCAGGGGGGCTGTCAGTGATACTGATAGCGCCCGATCGCCCGGGGGCTCCTTGGTTTGCGGAGATGAGTCAGATGTTGATTGCGCCACCTTGGCCAATTCCACATCGACGGGACGCGTTGTCTCAGGCGGCTGGCACGATAGGGAAATTGCCCATAATCGGCCAACCACTGAAGGCCTGGCTGCTGAGTGGGACAGGCTAGAACGCCGTGGGTTATCTGATGCAGTGATCAGGACCATACAGGGTTCACGTGCCAGTTCCACTTCTAAGATGTATGCCAGTAGATGGAACGTGTTTTCACGATGGTGTGTCACACAAGGTGTAGACCCCATGAGCTGTCAGGTGGAGAGTATTCTCTCTTTTCTACAGCTCATGTTTGATAAGCAAAAATCGCCTGCCACGATTAGAGTGTTTGCAGCAGCGATTTCAGCTTGTCATGAGGGTTTTGGCAGAGACAATGTCTTTAGCCACCCTCTAGTGAAACGCTTCCTATTAGGAACGCGGCGACTTAGGCCAACACCTAGAGTCACGCTTCCTCAGTGGGATTTGGCTTTGGTACTCGAAGCGCTATGTAAGTCACCGTTCGAGCCATTGAATCAAATACCCCTCAAGATGCTGTCTATAAAAACAGCACTGTTGCTCGCTTTGACTACAGCTAAGCGGGTCAGTGATTTGTGTGCTCTTTCGACGAGACCTGACTGCTTGGCCATCAATGGTGACCTGAGCAGAGCAGTGTTACGTCCTAACCCGGCATTTGTGCCGAAGGTTATTAAGAGTTCATATAGGTCACAGACCGTGGAGCTGTGGGCTTTTTCTCCTCCTCCTCATAGAGAGAGGAGTGAGGAAAAGCTCCATCGCCTGTGCCCGGTACGCGCTTTGGCGTGTTACGTCGAGCGCACAGCAGCGATTAGGTCATCGCCTCAGTTGTTTGTGCCAAGTCTAGGTCCAAAAGACTTCTCAACAGCTTCTACCCCCAAGCCATAAGACTCCTGAACAGCTAATCATGGCTACCCGGACTATTTGCACTGCCCCCCCACCCCATCCTTTTTACGCTGCTGCTACTCTGTTAAGTAAGTATTTATGCATAGTCACTTTAACTCTACCCACATGTACATATTACTTCAACTACCTCAACTAGCCGGTGCCCCCGCACATTGACTCTGCAACGGTACCCCCCTGTATATATAGCCTCCCTACTGTCACTTTATTTTACTGTATATATAGCCTCCCTACTGTCACTTTATTTTACTTCTGCTCTTTTTTTCTCAACACTTTTTTTGTTGTTGTTTTATTCTTACTTTTTTTGTTTAAAATAAATGCACTGTTGGTTAAGGGCTGTAAGTAAGCATTTCACTGTAATGTCTGCACCTGTTGTATTCGGCGCATGTGACCAATAAAATTTGATTTGATTTGATTTGTGTGTCACGGTGCGGCTGCACTAGCCATTGCTAGGCCTGACTTTCTCGTTTCGATGGGAAGTGTTAGGCTCGGCAGGGAGTACATTTTGGAGCGCTACGCTCCGCCTTAAACCACTAGGAGCAGAGCACCCCTATGGGGCGGAGCTCCACGATATAGAACGATTAGTTACCGGAGTGTAACTCCAGTTCTATGAGTGGAGCGGAGCCCCATAGGGGAGCTCTGCTCCTAGTGGTTTACCCTCTGCCCTACGGCAGCAGCAGCCTGAGACAAAAGTATGCACACACCTACAGCCAATAGGAGTACAGGTGTCCCTATAAGAGGGGATGCCTCCCCTCAATCAGCCTCCCGAGATATTTTTCTTCAGCGAGACTAGAGAGGGTCGGCAGGGCCTTAAGTCCTATGGGGCTCCGCTCCACTCATAGAACTGGAGTTACACTCCGGTAACTAATCGTTTTTATTTTTTATTAGAGGCATACTAAGACAAAAGAAACGTGGCACAGTGTGCAAATGATAACACATTAGTGCAGAAAATGAAGAAATTGATTAAAATGCTGGAAGTGAATGCTGGAATTAAACAATTAACTATATAAATAAGCAAAAGCTGTCTGTATTAAGGAAATAGACGCCTGGCTCAAATAGAAGCCTGTCTCTAATAAGCGCCTGTTGTGTTCAGTGATTCAAGCAAATAAATGCCCGGGCTATTAATTGAAGTTTACGGTAAAACCTATTCTTCGGCCTAATCAGTTCTTCTGTCTCACCTCCCTTCTACAACACTCCTTGCTGAACTAGATGAACCTCATTGTACCAGTCTAGGCCAAGTAAACGTGTCTTCTCTAAAGCCTGTCAATACATCTCATAATCCTTTACATTTTACATTTTAGTCATTTAGCAGACGCTCTTATCCAGAGCTACTTACAGTTAGTGAGTGCATACATTATTTTGTTTTTCATACTGGCCCTCCATGGGAAACAAACCCACTACCCTGGCGTTGCAAACGCCATGCTCTACCAACTGAGCTACATCCTTGCCAGCCATTCCCTCCCCTACCCTGGACGACGCTGGGCCAATTGTGTGCCGCCCCATGGGTCTCCCGGTCGCGGCCGTCTACGACAGACTGTGTTAACTGAGTCAACTGACTTTATGTGACTATCACACATGGTAGACTAAGTCATGAAAGAACCTCTTTCGTAACCTTGGGTTTTATTGACACACATGCCTCATATATGTCTCTTTCTGCTCAGATCTCCCCTTCTTGACTAAACTCTGAAAGCTAATTATGCCAGTGAACCCATTTTAAAACAAAGAATCATGGGAAAATTAGTAATTTTTCCCTCTGTGGGTGCTGAAAGCTTATGCACCCTCTCTCTGTTGGGAACTACAGGTGTACAGCAGCATGGAGCACCTGTCCCAGCTGGAGCACAAGCCCCCGACAGTGACCCGGCGGGAGCACAAGGGACCCAGGGAGGACTGGGTGGCAAAGAGAGAGAGCCTGGGCAGCCTGACCTTGAGAGATAAGAGCTGGAGGACAGGATCACCTGAGATGTGAGTATGACCACTACTGTGCTCTGACTAGTACTAGTGCCCTCTTACCTCGCTTAAAAAGTAGGAAACGTGACATTGTTGGCCCTCATTATTAAGGCTCTCATTATCATTAGTCATTGTTTGTTTTCATAAATACAATAAATCAATTCTGTGCTGCGTTGTTGTGTGTAGGAAGCGACTGTCGTGCTCAGAGTCCTTCTTCACTGAGAGTGACTCCAGTCCTCCATCTGGGGCCCGGCGACGCTTTTCTGCCCTCATGGACACTCACCGCTTTGCCTCCCCACTAGAGGCCGATCCTGACCTGCCCGTGCCCACCAGACAGCCCCCGGTCAAGGCCAGGGGCACCTCTCTGGAGGGGGCCATGGGCACCACATCCATGGGCACCACATCCAGCCAGGGGGATTTTAGGAAGGAAAAGGAGGGTAACGGGTTGACTGCTGGAGGTGAGGGCATTTGGCATTGGATAATGGATGAATCCTGGCTTGACCTACATGATATTATTCCTCCATCTTTCTGCTCTGCTCCAGACAAACTGCTGAGGCCAGCAGATGTACCACTGGGAGCCATCCCCAGCCCCAGCAGTACTGTGACTGCTGGGGACACAGAGCCCCAGGGGTCCCGGGCCACCAACGAACTGGTCCTGAGGAGGGTCCGCCACAGCCAGCTCTCAGCTGAGGGAGAGAAACGCAACTCGCGACCCGTAACCAAGGTCATCAAGTCTGCCTCCACCACAGCCCTGTCTGTCATCATACCTACAGGTGAGGAGCTGGAAGGCAAGAGAGTGTGAGGAGAGTGGGGCTGTCTGTTGCTAATGACAATATTAATGTTAAACAGTAAAACGGTTAACTGGACTTGTTTGGAAAATAGTATATTTCTTATAGACTGTATCTATTGCTTTGACCTTCAATTGACTTATTCAGATGTTTTTTCTCACACTTTATTACTGTGATTCTCTCCTCCCTCCTCAGTGGAGCAGCATGGTACGTCCCCTCTGGCCAGCCCCATGTCTCCTCGATCCATCTCCTCCGACCTGTCGTCTCGAGACTCCTCCCCCAGCCGAGACTACTCACCCACAGTCAACGTGCTGCGTTCGCCCATCACCATCCACCGCTCTGGGAAGAAGTACGGTTTCACCCTCCGAGCCATTCGAGTCTACATGGGAGACAGTGATGTCTACAGCGTACACCACGTGGTCTGGGTGAGACAACGAAAGAGATGCTATGTTCTCTGTTCGTTTCTATGGAGAAAGCAGTGTTAAGTAAACATCACTCTATTGAAGAAGTTCTGTATCATAACAACGCAGTGCTACAATTGCAGTAGAAAAACAGACTTGTCCAATAGTATGATGACTTGTTTGATTGATGTTGATCTGTATCAATCACAGCATGTGGAGGACGGAGGCCCTGCCCAGGAGGCGGGACTCTGTGCTGGTGACCTCATCACTCACGTGAACGGGGAGTCTGTCCATGGGCTGGTGCACACTGAGGTGGTGGAGCTCATTCTGAAGGTGAGAGGAGAGGAAAGAAACCAGGTGTGTTTTTCTCCTAGAGTATAGAATACAGGTGAAGCCTAACATACACTGTACGTTTTTTGTTTCCGTTGTTTCTCCAGAGTGGAAACAAAGTGACAGTGACCACCACGCCCTTTGAAAACACCTCCATCAAGATTGGTCCTGCCCGCAAGTCCAGCTACAAGTCCAAGATGGCACGGCGCAACAAGAAGACAGGGGCCAAGGAGGGACAAGAAAGGTACAAGTGGGTTTCTCTGCACAGCAGCTGTGTCGGCTACACTAGGATTTCAGATGAGCGCTGTACAAATCAGTGTCAGTGACTCTGTTTTTCAAACTCTCTCTCTCTCTCCTCTCATCCTCCCACCTCTCTCTGTTCCCTTCCCTTCTCACTCTAAGTAAGAAGCGCAGCTCGTTGTTCAGGAAGATCACTAAGCAGTCGAACCTGCTCCACACCAGCCGCAGCCTGTCCTCTCTGAACCGCTCTCTCTCATCAGGGGACAGCCTCCCAGGCTCCCCCACCCACAGCCTCTCTTCCCGCTCCCCCACACAGAGCTACCGCTCCACCCCCGAATCCACCTACCTGGGTCAGTATGAAGGGCATTACTCTACCTACATTACTGTACAACACTCCTCTTAGCATCTACACACTCACATAACAAAATAATACAGTTTGAATGATTGCTGTATGTCTCCTCTTCACTCCTCAGGTAACTCTTCTCAGAGCAGCTCTCCAGTCTCCAGCACCCCTAACTCCCCGGCTGCCTCCCAGCACATGAGACCCAGCTCCCTGCACGGCCTCTCCCCCAAGCTGCACCGCCAGTACCGCTCAGCCCGCTGCAAGTCAGCTGGCAACATCCCCCTGTCCCCCCTGGCCCACACACCCTCCCCCACCACCTCCTCCCCCCCACCCCTGTCTGGCCACACGGTGGGTAGCTCCAACACCACCCAGGCCTTCCCAGTCAAGCTCCACTCCTCTCCCCCTGTGGCCCGTCCCAGGCCCAAAAGCGCAGAGCCCCCCCGCTCACCCTTGCTACAGCGGGTTCAGTCGTCAGAGAAACTGGGCGCGCCCCTCCTGCCCTCCTCTTCATCTTCATCGTCATCTTCCTCGCCCCTTGCAGGGGGGGTGTCGATGCGTAAGCACAGCCTGGAGGTGTCACATGGTGACTACAGGAGGGAGTCTTTCCACTGCGAGCATAGCCTGCAGAGTCTGCTAGAGATGGAGGGAGAGAACGGGCCCGTTCCCCCCTCTCCCTCGTCTTCCTCCTCCCCCTCTCCCCCCACGGTTGGAGAGACAGGGTGCCTGAAGCCTGCGAGGAGGCCGGGGAGGCAGGAGTCGCCCCTGAGCCGGGACACACTGCTGACAGGGAGGGAGAGAGCTCCCCAGACTACAGCATCTGACCCTCACACTGACAGCACAACTGTTAAAGTGGAGCCCAAGACCAGCGCTGGTGAGACAGCTAAGACATTAACCCCTTGTGAGGCTCTGAAGAGAAAAGCCTCCCCAGTACCAGGTGAGGCCCAGCCTAGCCCAGCCTCAACCCCCTCCACTCCAGGGGCCAAGTCCAGCCCAGCAGACAAACCTCTAAGCTCCAGTGCTCCAAGCTCTGAGACAGCCAGTGGAGGCCCTAAACCCACTGAGAGGGCCCCAGTCCAGGCCACATCCCAGAGTCCGCTCTCCCAGGAGCATAAACACCAGGCTGTCCAGACAGACACCACCCCAGTAAGCAAAAGCCAGGAGAAGAGTGAGGAGAAAGGGAGTGTGGGCCCAGACAAAGCCACTACACAGAGGGCGGGAGCTACAGAGGTGGCCAAGCCAAGTAAAGACACACAGATGGAAGAGGCCACTTTGAAAGGAGGGATGGGGGGCATTGACAAAGCCACTGAGACCAGGGTTAAAGGACCTGCTCCTCCAGTCCCAACCCAAGCACCAGCCCCAACCCCAGCCCCATCCCCATCCCCTCTTGCCATAGGTCCAGGTCCAGCTTCAACAAAATCCAGAGCAGACAAGGTTTCTGTCCCGTTGAGTAGCTACCGAGAGGCCAGGGAGGAGAGGAGTCACCTGGAGGTGGTGGAGGAGAACCCCATGTCCCCCTCCTCCACCGCTGCCTCCCCCTGCTCCAGCAAGTCATGCCCTGTCTCCCCTGGTGACAAGGCAAGCTTTGTGACTCAGCTGACCAGTGTGGCCAAAAACGTGCTGGGGCCTATGAAGATGGGATCCCAGGAAGGGCCCAAGGGCGGTGAGGAGAAACGGGGAAGTTCAGCAGGAAAGTCTGAGGCTCCATCTGGAGGTAGTCGATGGGGGGCCCAGGGGACATCTCCAAGTCCTGCCGGCTCAGCTCAGCCTGAAAAGGCAAACACGAGGAATTCAGGTAAGCACCGCTTCTGATCTGCGAGCGAGGGACAAACCTGGGATCTCCCAGAAAATACCTTTATGATTGGAATATCATTCAACCATATCAGGCACGGACAGGGCACCCTCAAAAAAGGGACAAAAACATGTATGCCTAAAAAACACACACCAAATATCTAGAAAATACAGACCTGTAGATAAAACAAGAATATGTGGAGGAATGTGCTTTAATGCTGTTCTCAAATGTTTGTATGTACAGTTGAAGTCGGAAGTTTACATACACCTTAGCCAAATACATTTAAACTCTGTTTTTCATAATTCCTGACATTTAATCCTAGTAAATATTCCCTGTTTTAGGTCAGTTAGGATCACCACTTTATTTTAAGAATGTGAAATGTCAGAATAATAGTAGAGAATGATTTATTTCAGCTTTAATTTTTTTCATCACATTCCCAGTGGGTCAGAAGTTTACATACACTCAATTAGTATTTGGTAGCATTGCCTTTAAATTGTTTAACTTGGGTCAAACGGTTCGCATAGCCTTCCACAATAAGTTGGGTGAATTTTGGCCCATTCCTCCTGACAGAGCTGGTGTAACTGAGTCAGGTTTGTAGGCCTCCTTGCTCGCACACACTTTTTCAGTTCTGCCCACAAATGTTCTATAGGATTGAGGTCAGGGCTTTGTGATGGCCACTCGAATACCTTGACTTTGTTGTCCTAAAGCCATTTTGCCACAACTTTGGAAGCATGCTTGGGGTCATTGTCCATTTGGAAGACCCATTTGCGGCCAAGCTTTAACTTCCTGACTGATGTCTTGAGATGTTGCTTCAATATATCCACATAATTTTCCTTCCTCATGATGCCATCTATTTTGTGAAGTGCACCAGTCCCTCCAGCAGCAAAGCACATTTTACATTTACATTTTAGTCATTTAGCAGACGCTCTTATCCAGAGCAACTTACAGTTAGTGAATACATATATATATATTTTTTATACTGGCCCCCCGTGGGAATCGAACCCACAACCCTGGCGTTGCAAACGCCATGCTCTATCAACTGAGCTACATCCCTGCCGGCCATTCCCTCCCCTACCCTGGACGACGCTGGGCCAATTGTGCGCCGCCCATGAGTCTCCCGGTCGCGGCCGGCTGCGACAGAGCCTGGATTCGAACCAGGATCTCTAGTGGCACAGTTAGCACTGTGATGCAGTGCCTTAGACCACTGCGCCACTCAGCACCCCCACAGCATGATGCTACCACCCCCGTGCTTCACGGTTGGGATGGGGTTCTTCGGCTTGCAAGCCACCACCTTTTTCCTCCAAACATAACGATTAGTTCAATTTTTGTTACATCAGACCAGAGGACATTTCTCCAAAAAGTAAGTTGCAAACCGTAGTCTGGCTTTTTTATGGCGGTTTGGAGCAGTGGCTTCTTCCTTGCTGGGCGGCCTTTCTGGTTATGTCGATATAGGACTCGTTTTACTGTGGATATAGATACTTTTGTACCTGTTTCCTCCAGCATCTTCACAAGGTCCTTTGCTGTTGTTCTGGGATTGATTTGCACTTTTCGCACCAAAGTACGTTAATCTCTAGGAGACAGAACGCGTCTCCTTCCTGAACAGTATGACGGCTGCGTGGTCCCATGGGGTTTATAGTTGTGTACTATTGTTTGTACAGATGAACTCACTAAGTCCCCTGTAGCTCAGTTGGTATAGCATGGCACTTGCAACGCCAGGGTTGTGGGTTCGTTTCCCACGGGGGGCCAGTATGAAAATGTATGCACTCACTAACTGTAAGTCACTCTGGATAAGAGCGTCTGCTAAATGACTAAAATGTAAAATGAACGTGTTGCGTTTGGAAATTGCTCCCAAGGATGAACCAGACTTGTGGAGGTCTACCATTTTTTTCTGAGGTCTTGGCTGATTTCTTTTGATTTTCCCATGATGTCAAGCAAAGAGGCACTGAGTTTGAAGGTAGGCCTTGAAATACATCCACAGGTACACCTCCAATTGACTCAAATTATGTGAATTAACCCTAACCCTGGAATTGTGATACAGTGAATTATAAGTGAAATAATCTGTCTGTAAACAATTGTTGGGAAAATTACTTGTGTCATGCACAAAGTAGATGTCCTAACCGACTTGCCAAAACTATAGTTTGTTTACAAGAAATTTGTGGAGTGGTTGAAAAATGAGTTTTAATGACTCCAACCTAAGTGTATGTAAACTTCCAACTTCAACTGTATGTACTGTATGTGTAATGTATATAGTAAAAGCGTGTCTTCTTGCATGTTCCAAATTGTACATGAGAGATGAAAGAGGAATATTTAAAGAGATTGGAAAAAAATCGAACAGACCTGATGGTAGTGAACACTGTGAACATCATGTCAACAGCCCCCACACATTCCCAATGTAAACAGCATGCCTATAGGCAGGCTTCTGTCACAGTCTGTCACCACGAGAGATACGCGCAGTGATACAC